CTTCCAGTTGCTCCTTCCTCTCCAAAGGAAACAGTAGCAGGCATGAGGAAAGCAAATTAGGGAGTTAGGAAATCGCAGCCTGTGACATTTGCGTCACCTTCCATGATTGAAATTTTGAGATAGAAAAGTGACTTTCCTAACTGATTTCTCATTGATAAGCTCTGTTTCAAGAATAGCTAAGCTATACTGAACCAATGAAGGTAATTGCTTTCACTTACTATTTTCTGATTTCAGTGTCGGCAGGACAAGATACATGCTCAGGAGGCTCTGTAAGTCTGCAGTGTTTTCCCTAAGGCATATCCACTTTTAAGCTCTCAAATATAGAAATGTATGTTTTATTTCTTAAAAGTTAAAATCAGAAATATCTTGAACGATCAGCATATATACAGATTGGATAAATATCATTATTCAGCCATTCTCTCTAGCTCAATCAAAATCTGTTAAGTGGATACCATCTTTAAAGATTTCACTCTACACAGGGGAGCATGGTTGACTGGGCTCTGTTAAATATCTGTTTCCCATAACTCTGTGTAATATTAATTCTGTGTTAATGTGTGTGATATATATTCCTGTAGTCTCTCTTTTGACTCTTTTTTTTTTTTTTTTGAGACAGAGTCTCACTCTGTCTCCCAGGCTGGAGTGCAGAGGCATGAACACAGCTCACTGTAGCCTCAACCTCCTGGGCTCAAGTGATCCTCCTACTTAGCCTTCCAAGTAACTGGGACTATAGGTGCATGTCGACACGCCCAGCTAATTTTTAAATTTTTTTGAAGAGACAAGGTCTTGGGTATTGCTATGTTGCCCAGGCTGGTCTCAAAATCCTGAGCTCAAGTGATCGGCCCGCCTTGGCCTCTCAAAGTGCTAGAATTACAGGCATGAGCCACTGTGTCTGTCTTTTGGCTCTCACTGTTCTCTTTTATTTTATTCACTCCAGTGGCATGGTGCACTATCTTTTTTATATCTGGATTGAGGATTTTCAATCTGTATGAAAAAGATGTCCATTAGGAAATCCATTTATGGCTGGATATGGTGGCTCATGCCTGTAATCCCAGCACTTTGGGAAGTTGAAGTGAGTGGATTACCTGAGGTCAGGAGTTTGAGACCAGGATAGCCAACATAGCAAAACCCCCACTCTACTAAAAATAGGAAAATTAGCCGGGTGTGGTGGCAGGCGCCTGTAATCTCAGGATTACACGAGGCTGAGACAGAATAATTGCTTGAACCTGGGAGGTGGAGGTTGTAGTGAGCCGAGATCATGTCACTGAACTACAGCCTGGGTGACAGAGCGCGACTCCACCTCAAAAAAAAAAAAAAAAAAAGAAATCTCTTTATGTATGAACATAATTAATAAAGTTAATATACAAAATGCCTCACTTGATGTCCCCCTTCTGATTCCTAAATAAGAGCCATGTGGCCCTAGGAAGTACAGAATTCAATTTTCTTTCTCTTTTTCTTTTGAATTCTTCATTGAAAGGATTTGAACAGGTAACTATTTTTGTAAAGCTGTTAAAAATCCCGTACAAACAATATTTGCTTGCAACAAAGGCAGTCATGGAACAAGAAAAGTACTCCAAAATATGTAAAAGACTATAGCTCACCATACCCCAACCTTGGCCCAGTTGCAAACTCAAATTGCCCTGTCCTGTTTGCTGCAAAGCAGCAATGCATATTCATCCAGAGCTGGAGCCAGACTAACTCTTTTCCCCACAGTGACACTTTTCAGATCCCAAAGGAAGTTTGCTGTATGTGTTTAGTTACACTCTTTTTTGATTTTAGACACAACATTTGAGATTACATTAGACATCTTTGCAATACTTTTCTTCCAAATAAAGTTTTAAAAATATATGTCATAATCACGTCTTCCTATTAATGATCTGATGAAAAGATAGACATGCTCTTTATATATAATTTCCAAATTGAAGCAAAATCCATTAAGGATTTATATATTTTCAAAACATATTAGGAATTAATGGCATATTGACATGCATATTATATAGCAGCATTGTCTTTCCTACCATAGAAAAAGAGCCCATACTTATATAATTATATATTAGCTTTTTATTCATGAGAAGTAGGAAATTTTTTGACATGATTTTGTATAAATTATAGCTGTGAACATCCCTCCTTTTATTATTCTTTCTGTCTTTTTTGGTTTACTGGAAAAATAAAATCCACACTCAGTGATTTGAATAAGCAAACAATTTCTAAGAATATCTGTCATGGCTGTTCATAGTACTGCACAGCTGTTATTTTATTTAAATATCACAATTTTTAAGAGACACCGTCATTGTGGGACATATGATGCATGCATGGTATATAGCTGTTCTAGAAAGAGTCAAGGCAAATCCCATTTTTATGGCTTTAGTTTTTAAATCCCAGGAAGACTTTATAGAAAGAGACTGACAAGAGGGACAGGTGGATATTGGCTCCAACTTGGTGACAAGTTTTCAACCTCAGCTGCATTCTTACGACAGGGGAGTGAAGAGCAGCTGGCAGCCTGGGAGCCTCTGTTCTACAGATGGAATTCTTGTGGTGGAGAGAAGAATGTTCTATCTGGCTCCTCATGCTTAATGAACAAAGAGCACAACTTAAGAGATTGAAGCTACTGTTTGATCTAAACAGTGGAGCCCCACTCCCCCTTCCTTGTCACATCTTTTGTATTACAGTTCTAGTGATTTATGTTTAGAAAAGAATATAAAGTTTCCCAAATTACTATTAGTTACTGATGTCTTGAATTCAATATATTCTTTTAAAGGCCATTCTTTACAATTGTGAGATTTGGGGCAAGAATATAAATAGAGGCCTACAAATCATATATCGAAATATTTCCAAGTTATAAATCAAGTGAACAAATTGTTCAGTAAGAGATGCTCTTTCTCCTAACCTGGTGTTTCCTACCAGAGCACGGAGGCATGGGGAGAGCCAGGCCCTGTCTCCTCCATGGCTGGCTGCATCTTACATGGTGAGGGGCTTCCTGTGTATGTGTGGACACCCCAATTCGCATACCCACGCGCCAACCACACTTCCTTGCTGACAGCTGCCACTTGATCACCCTTAGGTCTAGAAACTCTGGAAGCAGGTTGAGGATTATCTGGGCAAGGAATTCTGGGGTCCTGGAATTCAGAAATGGTCCCAAAGGGTGGGGGGTGTAACCTCTGAGTGGGCACAGGAGAATACTTGCAACATGGGGAAGAGTGGGGCCCTCTACAGCATGGGGCTTAGGACAAGGGTCCATTCACCTGGGTCTAAGAATGATACTTTTCTTTTTAAACCTCAATGTATATAATATTGTTCCCTCCATAGCCAGGTAGGAAGGAGAACTTTGTGGTCAACTTCTAAGTTCTCCATTTAATTAAAAATTATTAAAGCCAGTCTTATTTACCTGGTGTTTATGGTCCATCTGCTCTCAAACTGGGAATGGTTTCAGTAACCACCAGGTACAGCCTTACTGCTGCATTTAAAGTATGCAACCTGGGGGTCTGACGTGACGACCACTCTTCCCCTGCATTTCTATAGCATTTGGAAGGGTAACTGCAACTGTAGAATGACCTCCTTCTAGTTGTATTTGAAAGAACTTTGGTCTGAAAGGTAAATGGCAACCATTATTCTAATCCTATAAATATGGTAACTTGGCAAATCTTTTCGCTTTATGGTTACTTCAAATACACAATAAACTAGGAAAGGAGCCAGCAACAGATGAAAGAGTTCTACCTGTGCTTATAAACCAGTGAAATATGAGTTGAGGTAGAACATGAAAGATCTGAATAATAGTGCCTTTTGGTCCATCTCACAGAGATTCAAATGAAAGCGCACAGGAAGGAATCCCTATTTGCATTATTCACAGTATCCCCTGTAAATTAGTGGCATGATGTAGGTGGAACCCATATAGTGTAAGTAGGAAAGCTAATGTTACATAGGTTTTTACTTTAAGGTCCAAAGGGACTCAGCCAAGTGGAAAAATAGCAGAGTTATGGTGGAAACCAGTCACCTTGTTAAAACTGAATAACCAGGTGTTTAGGAAAAGAATGGTATGAGAGACTGGTTTCTTTCCTGCTGAACACAGTCATTCAGTGTGAACACAGAGAGAAGGAATCTTTGTTACAAGCATAGAGGAAGATAAAAATGTGTGTATTTCAATGTTTGAAAACTAACCTGTGTCACAAGTCCATTTTGGGTTTCATAATATAATCAAGGAGAGCTACATTTTGAGCTATAATTATGCTATATTTCCTGGACGAATCTTATTTGGGGTGTTTCAACACATGGTCTATAGCAATTCAAACTGGAATGCATTTGTGCATAGGTGCAGGATATATTCATTTTTTCTATGTGATTTTCATTTTAAAGAAAAGTGAATTTTAGAAACTAGGGTACATGGATCATTCTCATTTCAAAATTAAAAGTTTTGGTGAGTATGTTGTGATAATGGATGAGAAAAGTTCAGGGTAATATTCTTGGCTTTAAAAAACCAGTGTTACCAAAAACAGTCATAAAATTTGACCTGAAAATATAAAGAATTATATTCATAAATACAAAATACAAAAACCCTTCAGTGGCTTCCTATTGATTTTAAGATAAAACCCGGCGTGATCTGGCCCCTCTCTGCCTATCCAGCCTCATTTACCAGATGAGGGAAACTTCTTTCTCCCTGCTCTGCCCTGACCACGTTGACCGTCTTGTTCCGCCAGTGCTGTGCTCTTTTCTGTCTCCTTCATGTCCTCTTCTTCCCTCTCTCCACTAACTGCTTCTTCTTCCAGTCTCAACTTAAATGTTATTTTCCCACGGATTTTTCTCTATTTTTACCAGACTGGCTGGGCTTTCCTGTTGAATGCTTCTATTAAACCCTGTAGTCTTCCTTCTGCACAGTTATAAAAATTAATATCAGAGAATATCCCTGGCCTTTTTCTCTCAACTTGGAAAAGTGTGCTGCTTTGTTTATTCCATTCTTACACCTCCAAGGAGGATTTGGGGATATTGTTGGGGAAGGGAGTGGAATGGGAATGGCGAAGAAACCAGGGAAGTGGAAAATGGGAAACAAACAGAAATTAAGAGACCAGTGTGGCCTCAGGATAGGGAATGAGAAGTTTTGTGGCTCTGAGGAGTCAGGCAAGTAAGAGAGGAGAGGGAATTTTTGGAAGTGTCAGTGAAGGAGAAATATTTTCTTCCCATTGTTACACTGGAATTACTCGTTAGTTCTAGTTATTAGTTCCTGGAATTAGTCATTAGTTCCTGAAATAATTACTCATTATTTCTTTGAAAGAATGCTGAGACTGCATCACTTGTGTCCTGATGTAACACTTCTTGAGGTGTACCACTTTTTATAATTATGCAGTTGTTTGTGCAATTGTTTTATGCTTTTATTTTCCTCCTCTCCTCCCGAGACCACAAGGCAGGGACCATACATATGTTGCTCACAGCTAAATTCCCAGGGCATTGGACAGAATCTGGCCTTTAGTGTATTCTCAACAAGTGATGAATGAATGAATGAATGAATGTGTCAGTCCATTGTGATTAGATGTCTAATCTCTAAATATCAACCTGGGGCTCCGTGACAAAATTATGCTTTCCTTAATGAAAGGTCTCTAGAAGAAGATGTTTTGAGCTAATTTCCAAATTACTGTAATTAGAAATCTTTAAAATAGTTTTTTTTTGTTTGTTTTCCCTGACACATTTCTCTGATGTTAAGAAGTGTAGAGATTGACAAGTTGTGTATTGCAGCACTATTTACAATAGGAAAGACTTGGAACCAACCCAAATGTCCATCAATGATAGACTGGATAAAGAAAATATGGCACATATACACCATGGAATACTATGCAGCCATAAAAAAGAATGAGTTCATGTCCTATACAGGGACATAGATGAAGCAGGAAAACATCATTCTCAGCAGACTAACACAGGAACAGAAAACCAAACACCACATATTCTCACTCATAAGTGGGAGTTGAACAATGAGAACACATGGACACAGGGAGGGGAACATCACACACCAGGATCTGTCAGGGAGAGGAGGGCAAGGGGAGGGAAAGCATTAGGACAAATATGCGGGGCTTAAAACCTAGATGACAGGTTGATGGGTGCAGCAAACCACCATGGCACACGTACACCTATGTAACAAACCTGCATGTTCTGCACATGTATCCCAGAAAAAAAAAAAAAAAAAAAAAGAAGTGTAGAGATTGAGTATTGACATGATTATTGTAATTGAGATGAAACACACTAAGTACTTATGTTGTTTTCAAAGTATATTAAGATATTTGCTAAAATAATCACATCTTGGTATACATATAAGCTAAGGATTACTTTTCTACGGAAGAGAAAGACAAAACCTGGGATTATGTATTTATTGCTGCTTACTGAAAACTGACTATATGCCTAGCAATATGGTATTTGTCATACACATACTACATTTAAACACATAAACAATATTTTGAGGTAGGTATTAGTTCCTGATTTTATCAATTAAAAAAACAATCAATTAAAAAAAACTGATGCCTGTAATCCCAGCACTTTGGGAGGCCAAGGCAGGCAGATCACTTGAGGTCAGGAGTTCGAGACCAACATGGCCAACAAGGTGAAACCCCGTCTCTACTAAAAATACCAAAATTAGCCAGGCATGGTAGTGTGTGCTGGTAGTCCCAGCTACTTGAGAAGCTCAGGCAAGAGAATTGCTTGAACCCAGGAGGTGGAGGTTGCAGTTTGCCAAGATTACACTACTGCATTCCAGCCTGGGTGACAGAGCGAGACTCTGCCTCAAACAAACAAACAAACAAACAAACAAAAAAGAAAACCAAGGTTGATTGACTTGCCCAGGACCTCTAAATTAGGAAATAGTGGAGCTGAGATTCACACCTAAGTCTGTTGATTCCAGAGCCAGTGCTTGTGAACAACAAAATTCTCTTTTTAATTTTGAGGAATACATCACCTACTTTATTAAGAGTTTTATTTAATATATAACTATAAGAGGAAATAATGAGTTCACAGTTCTGGTCTGACTTCTCTTCTCCAGGGATCACCCCAACTCACACTGCCTCTAGTTTACACTGTCAAGTCTAGAACCTGACTCCTATCCACTACAGGGCTAGATATAGACAACCTGCATTGTTAATGTACTTCCCATGTAGTCTTATGTTAGTTGAGTAACTTGTCGGAAGTTTAAAATAAGACAAACACTTACATTCAGGAATTCCTGGTTGTCACTTCAGCCCACCAGCTAATCCTCTGGATCAACTACCTGTTGATTTTTTTTGTTGTGGTTAACTAAAAATTCGCTTTGGCTTTTGCAATTTCAAGCTTTGTGTTATTAGCCCTCCAAGTCCATCTAGAAATTTTTCTCCCCATGGAAAGGATCACCAAATCCTCCTCTTAAAGATTCATGTAACAAAAATATAAATTGAAGCTAGCCACAAATTGGTCCTAGGAAATAAAGTACTTTGTAATTAATTAATTAATTAATTTTTTTTTTTTTTGAGATGGAATCTTGCTCTGTGGCCCAGGCTGGAGTGCAGAGGCACAATCTCGGCTCACAGCAACCTCCACCTCCTGCGTTTAAGCAATTCTCCTGCCTCAGCCTCCCAGGTAGCTGGGACTACAGGGTGAGCCACCACACCTGGCTAACTTTTCTATTTTTAGTAGAGAGGGGGTTTTGCCATGTTGGCCAGGCTGGTCTCAAACTCCTGACCTCAAGTGATCTACCCATCTCGGCCTCCCAAAGTGCTGGGATTACAGGTGTGAGCCACCACACTTGGCCTAGAAAGTACTTATTGTTTTATGTACACATACACGCACACGCACATGCACGCACACACACGCACAGTCAATTCTCATTATTTTTAGTAGTTTATATTCTATAAAGTTACTGCTAATTCTGGATTAGTCAATAATGAACCTAGGGGAAATACAGGGTTATATTTCTGTGAGTCTCTAATCATAACATGTTTGTCAATTGATCAATACATAGCCTGTTTTATGTGTATTTCTGTACCCTATTTAATATACACTGTGGATTTACTAACATTGAACGCATGGCCAACAGAATTGTAATGCATGAGTGAACAAAGTTTACCTTTCATAGGTATTGCCTCTGTGAGGTGCATGACAGCCTTCTTGCGCTTACTGGACAGCACTTCAGCAGTACAGTTGGGGATGATTTTAAACAGTGAAGTCACCAACAAAAAGCACAAAAATGTAAACACTAAATAGACTGAGGAAAGGTCACTTGTTTACAGTATGAGAGTTGAAAAATGGAAAGTGTCACCTTGTTCAACTCAGTGGGGAATGTGAGCATTGGGCGACGCAAAATTTTCACTGCTCTATGAATGACCACAGAAGCCCATAAGCATTGATTGTTGGGGTTCAAATACGTTTTAGTGAGTAGGCGAATTTGCAAACACAGAATGTGCGAATAATGAGGGTCAGCTGTTACATGTACTTACTGCTAGTTAATATTTGTTGAGTGCTTGCTAATGCCAGTATTTATTTTAGGTTTTAGAAATATATCAATGTAGTTAATTCTTATAAAAGCTCTATTAGGTAGGTATTGATATTTTCTCTATTTACCTATTACGAGGAAAAGTTAAGTGAAGTTTTCCAACCCACGGCTGGTAAGTATCTGAGTAAGGATTGGAGCCAGGCAGAGTGGTTCCAGAGCCCACACATTTATCCATAGTGCTATGCTTCCTTGTTTTAAAAGTCCTTCTATGACTATTGTTCACATTTGGAGAACATTATCCTATCAATGATCTTTTTTCAAGGAGGTGTTTTTAGGGATCATTCATTTATTCACTTAATTAGAGAAATGATTTCATGTGTGCCTACTTTGTGCTGGCACTGTGAGGGTTTAGCAGTGAAGAAATACATGACTTCTGCCCTCACACAATTTCATTTAGCTTACAATTAGGTAAGATAATATACATTATATAGCTTAGGATTACAGTTAGCATTATATGATTTTAAAAATACAAATTAAGAGTGAGTTAAACAGGATAGAAATTGATTTTTCTTTTACATGAATGGCGTCTGGAGGTAGGTTGCTCAGGGCTGGTAGGAAAACTCCACCATCATCAGTGACCCAGGCTGCTTCTATGTTGCTGCTCTGCCATCCGCATGCTGCTTGTGGTTCAGAGCATCTGGTCTAAGCTCCAGGCATCCTGCCTGCACTGCAGCCAACAAAAAGGAGGGAAAGGGAAGAAGAGTACTTCTCTTAAGGAGACTTGCTGTATGTTCCACTCACCTCACTCAGATCTCATTTGTCAGAACTCAGATAACTGCAGAGGAGGCTGGGGAATGTAGTCTGTTAGTTTGGTGGCTATATGCTCAACTAAAACCCAGAGTTCTACTTCTGTTCCCAGGGCAAAGGGGAAGAACTGTACATGGGAGGCAATTAGCAAACCTCTACATATATGGAAACATTTTCTAAACTGCAGGGACCTTTATAAAATTAAAGATCTATTAAATAGAGTGGGATAGTGGCTGCATTTGTTTGATATTACATCTATTGTCTAATGGTTTTCAGTCTTCCCTTGTAGTAATTATTTTTCATTTAGGATCTAGAGTTTTCATTTGATTTCTTCAGCAACTCCAGTATCCCTGAACTTACGCTTATCTTTTTGCTGTGCTTTGGAAAAAAGAAAGCTACATGACTTCATATATATTTTAGTATATATATTTGGGGGGTGCCCAAACCTGGGAGTGAACCAGGGACTTAATACACGAAAATTGTAATGTTTGGCATTATACATTACACAAAAATCTTTCAAAATACCTCCAAGAGGTGAATAATCTTTGGAGGATAGTTAAATAATTAATATTATAATAAAGATTTTAAAAAGAACCTGTATAAAAAAAACTGGGGAAAATGAAGACACTGTTTTGAATGGAGTTGATTCTTGCACTGTCCACATGGAAAAGGATGAAGCATTGAAATACTTTAATTATGTAAAAATCTCAGATAAAAGTCGTTTTATGTTTTCTTTTACATCTGTGTAACCTAGAAATTTCTTCAATTCTCCATTTTATCGTTCGTGCATGTATCATTCAGTATCCTTGCAGGAAGCAGATAATACCATTAAAGGGGTCAATTGAAATGAGTTTGATGGAGCGACTAT